GGTGATAAGTTCAGAGGACTACTGCGGTCTTCCCATAGCTCTCAGTCCTTCTCCTGCCCCTTGAAGCTTGAAATTAAATATCCTGATTTAGAGATGAAAGTTTGAAAGTGGATAATATAATACATCGTTTGAACTCAGCCTGAAAGCCGTTTTTATTGTTAGAGGGGACAGATGTGCAAAACAAGAGCACTTCAATTCAATTCAATTTGTTTTCTGTGTAGTCGCAAATCACCACGGCAGTCATCGCGGAAGGGCTTTACAAATTTGTGGATTTCTCAACAACTGATCAGAGAATCAAACAGTTTAGAACACAGGAAATAACAAACACATTGAAGCCATCGGTCCATAGGGAGCGGTACGACCATTAATGCTAATAAATGTACATAAATGTCCTGGATCATCACCGCCCTTGGACCTTTCTGCATCAGCAAGAAACACATTTTAAAAAACAGTTCGAACAAATGTGAGAAACCTTGGGGAGGCCCAGATCAGCTCCTCAAAGACAAACCAGGCTATAGATGCAGGAATCAGAATGTAGAACGAGGACTGAGGCTGTGCAGTGCCAGACGGGGAAGGGGGTGCAGCTCACGAGTGCAGGCTGGAAGATACCGATTCACAGGTGCTGGTAAAAGAGGCCGGATTCAGGCGCTCCATCATCACGCCATGTAACAGACAATGGGACAGCATGTATGGGACTGGTGACGATGGGACAGCGGGTGAATAGCAATGAACAGACTACAGCTTAAAACCAAAAAAATGAAGGTAAAAGTAGCAGAGAGGATAGTGCTCAAGTTATTCTCCAAGTGTCTCCATTTGCAGTGTCCTATATTAAACATTAATGAAAGCAAAGTGAGGAGATCTAAAAGTGGGCTTCCATGTACAATGTATCTTGAGAGAAACAATTGACCCAGATAGTTTTTTTGTGTGTGCAAACGCCATTAAATGTGTCCCGCAAACTATCTCACAGACATGATAAAAGGCGGTATTTGGGGCAAACTGATTAAGAGGCAACAACGTAAAGGGAAGGCACACAAGACTGAGGGAAAAAAAGGGGGGGCTTGGGCAGATGTAGCAGCCAGCTCAAGGCAAGACAGGAGAGAGTTTACTCCTCCTCCGAGAGACCTGTGATGCTGCTGCTTTATGTCTTAATGCTGATCACATTGACTCTGGTGGGACCTCATTAGCTCAAGGCACAGAGCTGTGTTCGCCCGTGTATTGCCTTCCAGAGAAACACATAAGTTATGGTGTAATAACATCTGAGTGTGATGGCAGCTACAAATGCTAAGTTAGAAAGGCCATTAGTCTTGTCTAATGCGCCACAGAACACTTATCACACAGCATGATTGGCTGCAAGGTTCTTGTTTCCACCTGACTGAGCCGATGAATAAGCCCCGTAGGTTTAAATGGGGGCAGAGGGGCAGCAAGGAACCGGCTGTCGTTATTGTTATGAGTAGTGACTTGTAGTGTGTGTGTATAGGACAGACTTATAGGAGGAAGAAGCATGAGGAATGAGAAAATAATAATAATTCATTGGTTTTATTTTGCGCTATTTAGGACACTCAAAGAGGCTTCACATGTCATTATTCTGTCACTCCATACACAGTGGTGATAAAGTACTATTGTAGCCACAGCTGCCCTGGGGCACATTAGCAGAAGCGAGGCAACCAGTATGTGCCATTGGCCACACCGACCACCACCAACCATTCACACACACACCAGACTCTTTCTAGGCAATGTGAGGTGAAGTGTCTTGCCCAGGGACACAACGAATGTAGGGTACTTTAGAACCGCAGCCGCCCCAGAGGTCTCCCATCACAGACAGGATCTAGTTTCGCATTCAAATATGGCCACAAAATGAGTTGCTAAACCTTCCATAAAAAAGGTGTCTTATTTTCCGTCAAAGTCACAACTCAAATGCAATTGATTAAGATTAAGGAATGCCTTTTTCGTCCCACATTGGAAAAGTTTCACTATATAGAGTATGTATGAGTAAATAGAGGATTATGCTCAGGTATTGTTGCTATTTGTGAGACATTTTAAACCAATAAACAACTGTTTGTTTAAAATAAGAACAAGAAACGATAAGATAACTATTCATTCATGGGACATTCCGGTGTTGCCGTGCACATACAGTAGAAATAAGAAGCACACAAAACAAGATACATAGATGTAAATTAGCTTAGCTTTAACATCTTCATTAATATTTATCTTAAACTGCATCTTCATCTTTGTATGTGTAGATTATGGTCACGTACACGGGCAAATCATATTGGACCTTTTCTGAAGTAAAGTTAAATGTAGTTAACACAAGGTCACTCACACTTTTGAGTCACTGCTTGATTCTCTGATCTGTGTTGGCAATTTCAGTTTTGTAAAGATAACTTCTTTGTGAGCTAGAACTAGAACAATATCAAATGTAATTGAACAGGCTTTGAAATGCATGTGAACTCTTTTTAGCAGTAGTTAAGCAGTATATTGTCCATAGTGTAGCCATAGGTCAATAATAAAGTCAATGAAAACAGTAGTCTCCTCTTTCAGTGAAACAGCGCACGATGCATGGATATGATCTTGACCCTGAACCAGTTGGCAAACACTACACTGCCACTTTTACAGCTGTGTGTTCTGCTGACTCTACCAGTGTGTGACGACTCTATGAAGATCCTATTAAATGAATTCCCATTATCCTACAGAGGTGTTCGACAGAGGTGTTGACTTTTCCTTTGTATCTCTTCTATTTTGTTCTTATTTATAAAGCAAATTTAAAATGCCAAAAGCCCAAAGTGCTTTACATATTGGCTAAAAACAGTAAAAACAATTAATGTAAAATGTACAGGCAATAATAACGGCTTATTAACCGAGCGCGAGGTTAATAAATGTTTTATTATATGACTATTTTTAATTTATGCAAATATCGATCTCCGACTTGGTTTTCCTAATCGTGTTTTTAGCTTTCTGGTCTGCAACAAAGTTGTCAATCTCATCTTGTCTGTTAGTTATTTTTTCTTCGTTATTTTCTGTAATTTCTTCCTCTGGCTTGTCAAACTCGTCCGATAATAGAATTCACTGAGAATGCTCCCAGTTGTCGCCCATTATTTCTTTTTGACTGAGGAAACTCAGGAAAGAAATCAATTGTGATACGCGCTGCGGACTGATTGTCATGGTAACGGTCTGAGATGGAAAATATCAGACCGGTAATCAGCCAATCAGAGCGCGCGTACGGTCCAAGTCATATAATAAACAGAAATATAAAAAGAGAGATTCAGCTCAACGAATGTTAAAAAGCCAGTGAAAAGAAGAAGAAGAAGGGATTAAAAATTGACCAGTGTATCAGCGGCTCTGACCCACGGTGGAAGCTTGTTCCAAAGCCGGGGCCCGGCCACAGAGAAGGCTCGCTCTACTCTTCATATTGGATCTGGGAACTTTAAGGAGCAACTGGGAAGATGACCTTGTAGTTCTTACTGAATCCTGAATACACAATAGTTCATTCAAATACAACGGGGTCAGCCCATGAAGACATTTAAAAACAAAAAGTAGCATTTTAATCTGAATCCGGTATGTGAAAGGAAGCCAGTGCAGTGACGCCAGTACAGGGGTTATGTGTTGAAAACGCTTTGTACCCGTCAACATGCGAGCTGCTGCGTTCTGAACTCCCTGCAGTCGATTTAGAGCGACCTGGTCTATTCCAAAATAAAGTGAGTTACAGTAGTCCAGACGTGCTGTGATGGACATATGCACCACTCTCTCAAAGTCCTGCCGTGTGTAATTGTTTTCCTTCAGTCTGCATTAGTTAAACGTGGATTTTGGAATAATTGAACTGTCTAAAATATTTGTTTTAAATCTCAGTCATTTTAAAGCATTTGGGACTTCTCATGCGTTCTCTTATTTTGTGACAATGGGATCCAAAATGATTATGAAAAAGCCCCAAAACTTTACGGTCCCAACCAACTAAAAACAATAAATACATGAATTTTACAATTAACATTAAGTATTTGTACGCAAATTATACTTTTAAACATAGGGGATATTAAAAATTACTTGGCCAGAGATATCACCAGTTGATATTTTTTGCCATACGCTTGAGTTTTAAGAATCCACAACACACCTTCTCAATTGATCTTCTCTGAAATGACTGAGTATTTGGACCCACAAAAGACACGATATTGTGTTGAAATGTTTTTCACTTCTCTATTTCACAAATGCATGACAAGACGAAAAGATAGGTGGACTGAAATGAGCACAGTCGCCCAGACATGACCCAAGGGGACTCCGAGGCAATCTCAATACAGTGAGGTGTGAATGACATCATTAGCAGCATCCCCCTTTGGGTTTTTCCAAGATCTGAGGCGTTGCTTCTGACAGACTTGATGGATGAGTCGATAGAGCAGTCATTAAATCACTCTAGTTCCTTTGCACTGAGAGGCTTCAGATGATTTAGCTTTACTCGTCTCAATTATTATTATATAACAAACTCATCTGATTTTATACAAGCAAACGTTTAAGAGGTCCTTGTTAGTACTCCCATGCCTTGGCCTCTCCGAGTGGGTGGAGAGGCCCTGGAGGAGTTTCAGTATCTGTGGGTCTTGTTCACGAGTGAGGGAGGGATGGAGCGAGCTTGATGCACAGATCTTGGTGAAATGTTTTTCAGATGTACTGCTACTTTATTATATAACCGATTTTATATTGATCATAATTTAGAGATTTTATATTTAATTGTTGCTTCTTTATTATGCTGATTATTTTCAAGATTCAAGAGATTCATTTATTTGGCCATGTGCAGTTAAAAAACCACATTGGAATACGTTCGCAAGAAAGGCACTCCGTGTGCACCGACAGAACAAAAGCACAATCACGGTGCACAACGGAGCTCTTGCAGCGGCGCCCTGGCACGGCGCCATCTTGCTCGTCGTCCATTTTCTAGCTTCTAGCTTCGTTTCTAGCTTCCTCTTCCTATTTTCTTCCTTCAAATGTTTTGAACCTGTAGACGGTCCGAGCGAAAATCTATGGGTCGTCTGGTGAGTTTGATAAAACAAAATGATGTAAACAAACGTTTAAATTGTCTTTTCATTGATGTTTTTTGTATTAAGTGGAAGGAGCACGAGCTGGAGAGGCTGTGTTGTTCTGCCCTTGCTGTGTTGCTCACGTTACCTCATCTTGGTAAGTCTTGTGAGGGTTAGGAAAACATGCTAGCACGATGCTACTATAAGCACAATGCTAACGCTAATCACAAATTCTAACGCTAATAAGTTATTTTTGGATACAATATGGTTTCTACCATATTCTATGTCAGTTCATAACAATACTGAGAAGCACTTCTGGTTATTTTTGTACTATTTTTGTCCAATGTAAATATTATTATGAAGTTGATTGGGCATTTTGAGGGTTTATTTTATGAAAGTGTTTGACAGTATTTCTTCAGTAAAGCTACAGGGGGAGCATGCCAGACCTATTGTGCATGTTTTTAGTGGTAGGGGACACCTGAGCACCCAGAGGAAATCTACGCAGACACGGGGAGAACATACAAACTGCACTCAGGAAGACTTTCTTGCTGAGAAGTGAGAGTTTTATCCACTCAGACAGCCACAGTGCTACCCACCGTGGTAATATGAAAAAAGATAAAGCTATAACAGCTGTAAACACTAGAACCTTTATTGTTGATCAGGCTAATATTTCATGATTGTAACCGAGGGAGAGCCTAATTGAGCAGTGATTTATTGTACACAGGTAAGGGTGCAGTGAAAAGTTAAACAGACACATACCATGACCGTTTTGAAAGATTTATTTTTAATTTACTAAAAGGGAAAAAAAACACGTTAATAGAAATGTATGAAAAGGTTATGTTTATTGGGGGCTATGTTAAAATTCTAGTTCTAATAAATAGCAGTGGTAAATTTGAACAAATGCTTTTAAGAGTGGCCAGGACTAGACGGCCGCGGGTGTACGCGGTCAGAGGGCAAATATGTAAATGGCACAGAGTACACACTACACACCGTGCAGTCACACACACACACGCCAAACCAAATCTAGGATAACTAAAACATGCAGTGAGGGTGAGTGCAAAAAATACCACAGCACACGAGGGGAGTGATGGTGCAGCAGTGAGAAACTCTATCACCAAACCTCCACCAGGCAGGCACCCACGCTCGAACCAGTCCTGGAGCACAGGGAGAACAGTGTCAAATCGTACCGTACACAGGTCTTAGTAAATACCCAAAAAAAAGAGAATCAACTCAAAATCAAATGTAAGGGGTACAGACTCGTCCCGGCAGTATCTGACTAAATAACTATCATTAGACCCAAATAAAACCGACATGTAGCCTGCTGACTCTAGAAAAGAAACAAACAAATTAATATCCTACATGCGATCTCCAATTTAACCCTTATAAAAGAAGTCTAAATACCTAGAGCTTAAAACCGTCTGAGTTGGCAGAAAAAGATGCCCTCCCAGGCTGACGCACCCCGGACAGGTTAATGGGGTCACTTGATGGCGTCTAAAAACACAAACAGAATGACATTTACCAGCTAGAATACAAACACAAACAAACAACAACCTACCCGGCCTACAGCTTCTAGCTGTGAGAGAAACGGGACCGGAGCGGATAAAGTTGGTGATCGGGAGGGCAGCCTACCCGTGCATCGCGTCTAGCCTGCTTAAATATGCTAGGAAATAACTGAGGAATGCGGAAGTGCGGGTTGCCGGCTACGAATTACGTAATACGGTCGCCTAACTGGGACAAACAACCAGTGGTTACAGTAAAGAAAACCCTGGATGGATTTCCTGGATTCTCTCCGGATGGAAATGGCGAGCCTGTGCCCAGAACTGGATTGACGTTTGAACCACCATCTTTCCTACTGTGCAGAGTGGTAACACCTTTAAAAACCACTGTAAAGGAAAAAGATCTGAACCATAAAGACAATTGACTTGACTCCCACTGATGTCTGCTGTTGTTGTGTCTTTGGGCAAGACACTTAAACCACTTTGCCTAAAAGTAGCGCAGAAGTAGTTCGCTGCTTGCCTTGATGTGTAAATGTGTGTGTTTTCATCAAACTGAAATTTCCCCACTGTGAGATGAATAAAGGACCTTCTTCTACTTCTTCTTCACAACATATAAAATGGGCATATGCCAGCTGTGCCCATCGTTAAACACTGTTGTTGTATAATTAAAATGTTGTATATTTTAATATTTGACCATTTGGACATCATAGCCAAAAAAGACCTCTGTGCACTCAGGAAAAACCCCAAGGACCAGCTTACAGAGCCAGACAATTATTGACTCCCAGAATAAACACATGTGTGGCAAATCTTGACCTATGATCCGCCCGCAGCCCCCCTCCGCAGCAGCTGCGTTTGTCTAAGCCCCACGTTAGGCGCCGCACGGGTGGGGGCATTGTTTGCTCAGGTGGAGATGGAAGACCAAGACCGGGTCCAGACCAGGACCAGGGGCCAGACCAGTCCCAGACCTGGGTCCGTCGGCCGGGAGAATTCTCTCTTCTCTTCTCTCTTCTCTTCGAAAGAGGTAAGCGGATCGTTACTTTTGAAAATCTGCACATTGTTTTAAATGGAAGAGAGAGAGAGAATTCGGCTCGGCGGACTGCAGCGTGGCCAGACGACCGCCGTGACGGGCGTTCTATCGGACGCGATAGAACAATAGTCAGGTTTTTCGACGTTTTTGAACCTTGAGGGAAGCATTGGTCCCCTCAAAAAAAAGAATATACAGGAAAGCCACAGGGTTTATAAGTGCAAAAGAGGCACAAGTGTTTAGATAAATAGGATTAGAAAATAGGGACAGTTAGGGTCAGAAGTTATAGGATAATAAAAACTCCATATCCCCCGGGGGCGGGGAAAAGGGTACAATTAATTTAAACAGAAAAAAGCCAAGTATTTAAAATGTGGATTCTGATAATAATGATCTGATTAATGAGAAAAAAAGAGAGCCACTTGGCTGTAGTATACGAGTTTCATGTGAAGAAATGACAAAAGATCAGTCTGGGAGTTTTTCTCTTGTATTGTGATGTAATGTTTCGATAGTTACAGAGAATCAAAAAAAAAAAAAAGATTCTGCTGGAACCCTTGATACATTAATCAGGTAGCAAATGGTAATGTTTTCCATTACTGACGTATTTAAGGATGAAATGTAAAGTGTCGTTTACGTGAGAAAAACTTTTACCACTGATTTAAAACCTTGTCACGAGAAGAACGAGGAAAGTATTTCAGACTCCATGCTTCCTTTGTTCGGGAGGCCCCTCCCCTCCCTCGTTCTGTCCTCTCTCTCTCTCTCTCTCTCTCTCTCTCTCTCTCTCTCTCTCTCTCTGTCTTTCTCTCTCTCTCTCTCTCTCTCTCTCTCTCTCTCTCTGTCTTTCTCTCTCTCGTGAAGAAAGAATTTTTTGTAGAAAATTACATTTATACACACGATAATGTTACTGACATGGAGTCATAGGATCACAGAACTTTGAGTTAGATTATAAAGAGGCATTATTTTATTTTTTATCTCCAAGGCGTCTAGACAAGTTTTTTTTCCCTACATTTTGGTGATATAAAAGTTAGAATGATCTTAGAGAGCATTATACTTTTGGAAAAATAGGGCTCAGGAGAGCAGTTGAATGCAGAATTCGGTTTTCAGAATCTAATGTTTAAAATGTTAATATTAATTATTCCATAGGTTTATTTTGAATTGTAATTAATCATTGGTTTGGTATGGTAATTAACACACTTGTTTGTGTTTCTTGTTTGTCTGTTTTTTCCGAGAAAACTTCTGTCTGTTTCATTTGGCCAAAATTGTCTCTGCCACAAACCACCATCAGCGTCTCCCCCAGACCCACAGGGGGCAGCAAAGACAGCAGCATCGGCTGCAGCAGCTAACAGGAACTCTCGAAGAAGACTTCTCCTGCCCATTCCTGTGAGGAGGCAAAGAAAAGACCGCAGACTTTTTCACAAACTGAGTGTTGTCCCATCCACGAAACAGAAGGTGGCGGTAATGCGAAGAATAGGCCGCCAACCGCCGGAAAACCAAACAAGAAGAAGAAGGACACGACACATTTGGGTGCGTCAGATATGAAAGAAGAAGAAAGACATTATGAGGAAAAGTTATCGGAAGAAGAAAGAAAGTGATTGTTGAAAGAAGAAGAAAGACATTGTGAGAAAGAGTTATCGGAAGAAGAAAGAAAGTGATTGTTGAAAGAAGAAGAAAAAAGACATTGAGACAAAGACATTGGACACTTTGAGACAAAGACATTGGACACTTTGAGACAAAGACATTGGACACTTTGAGACAAAAGACACTGAAAGACGCCATGAGTAAAAGAAAGACATTAACGGACATTTGAGACGTGGCTGGCCTAAATGAGACACACAGAAGGTAAATATACAGACAGGCAACAAACGCACAGAGACATATTAAGTCATATTTACACATTTAGGTCATTCGTTCATAACACCACATTTAGCTGCATGAAAGAATACAGGACAATCGTTAAAATTAATTAGACTCTTGCTTTAGCATGAGACACAAGGAGATTAGAACAGCAGTATATTTAAGGTAGAGGAGCTCTATTATTGAAACTAGTATTATTATTTAAAGTTATAGACGCGGAGAAGTTTAGAATTATTGATTTTGACTGCATGATCTTGGTAATACGGATATTTAAAGCAGTGTTTTCAACCTCTGAACCGTGGCTCGTTAATCATTTAAAAACAGTCACATGCACAGTTGAAACTGGTGCTAGAAAGAGAACTGCAGCTTTTAATGGACGCTGCATTTAGTACAAAATGGTTTGTTCAGACAATTAAAGTTTGAAAAATGATTTAAAGCATTTCTGAATTTTGGCTAAAGGTGATATTGGATCATTTCTGATAACACATAGACGCAACACTGTTCATTGGTTGAAAACACGGATGTAGGGACATTTTATGAAATCTTTTATGACATGTTTCTCTTCCAAATAGCTAAATTAGAAACAATTAGGACAATTATGTCTTTGATATAACTGTTGGCAGTTTATCTGAGACATGATTGGTGCAAGTACACACACATAAAACAATGGTCTTTTCTCCACATGAACGTGAAACAAAGGTGAAGTATTAAAGTTTGAAACTAATTTACATTTTTAAGGAATCCGAACTGGCTTTAAAAAAAAAAAGGGAAAAACATTTATTGCAC